ATGTAATTCCAAGATTAATAAAGCGTGACTACAAACAGTCGGTTTTGCCCATTACACCACGCAGATTGAGCATATGGAATAATAAACAGAAACAATGGGAAGAATCTGCTACGTTTATTCAGAAGTTGGTTAAAAACAGAGCGATACAATGTTTGGTAAAGTACATCACATAAAATTATCATATTCACTCAAACAGATATATTAAAAATTTTTCTGTAACTATGCTATTAATATAAGATAAGAAAAATAGAATTTTACATTTTATAGATGTACGAAGGATGCGATAGATACAGAGAATTGATCGAAGAATTACATTCGACTCAAACGCTCAAAAAGCAGGATGAACAGAAGCACCGCGAAAAAATATGTATGATCGAGTTACAACTACAAAACGATCAGTCGACACAGGAAGATCGTTTATGTGAGATTCTCAATTCTTTGGAAGGAAAAACAATCTGTGGAACATTAGATTTTCTTAACAAAGTAAGTTTTCTAGTTTCATATTGAAATAATTTGTTCGATTATCTCTCTTATCATCTTCAGGAACTGGTGAGATTAGAGGACGAACGTAGAGCTCATGCTTTTGCTTTACTTGCCGAAAGAGAAAGATGTATGAGGGAAGCTGCTGAAGCTGGTAGGCGCCAATTGGAACGTAATCGACGACGAGAGTTTGACGAAATGTTTAAACAAATTGTAAAAATAAATCAGGATTCGATAGAAGCTTACTTGGAAGACATTATAAGGGAAGGCATTGATTGGATATCCGATAAAACAGCTAAAGAACAAGTCTTACAGCTTAACGATAAAATGGATGACATATCAAAACATGCCTTAGAAAAACAAGATTGGTAACCGATAGATATAAATAAGTGTATCATTAAAAAGCAACATATAAAATACAGTCATATTTTCATAGTGTGGATAAGTTGGCAGAAGAGGAATTGGTAATGGATATGATATATAATTTTGTTTTACCTGAAGTGGAAAAACATAACGTAAGAGGAAAAATTCGAGATCGACAACAAAATTATATGCGAAATGCATATA